TGCGGCGTGGCCATCCCCCGGGGGGTGATTTCTCGCTTTCTGTCTCTCTCTCTCTCTCTCTGTCTGCCTGGCGAGCGCACGCGCCCTATAGCAAAAACCTCTCCAAAAAGAATTATTTAGAGTAAACTGAGAAATGCCCATGACTTAAAACTTTTTATAGAAGAATCCCTTAGACTTGACAGTTAAACTTCTAGAAATGTTCTCTCTCTCCCTCTACACACACACACATACACAAACACATACTCTAACTACTATATTAAGTAAATACACAAAAACATTCACTTCAGTATTGCTTATCATAGCAAAAACCTAGAGAATTCCAAATGGCCCTTCAGCTCTCAGAACAGAGCTGGTAAACTACACCACAGAATGTCCACAAAATAGGATCATGTGCAAATACTCAGACATAAACCTCTAGGTGCTGATGAAGATAAACTTCCAAGATGCATTAAAAACTAAAAGCATAGGGGCTGGCGGGTGGAGTAGTGGTTAAGGGCGCTGGACTCCCACATGGCTGACCATGGTTTGAGAACCAGATCTGGTGGCTTGCTTTCTCAATTTTCCTCTCTCTCTCTCTTCCTCTCTCTCTCTCGCTCTGTCCCCCTATAGTCAGATAAAAATAAATAAATAAAGTTAAATAATTTAAAAAAAAATAAAAGTATATAAATAGATCTAAAGATCTAGTTTTGAAATTCCAAAGGATATGTAAGTAACTGAGAGCACATCTTGAACTTCCGCCTTCTAGTTTCGACTCCTGTGCTGTCTGAGTTGCCGTCACTGTGTATGTCTGTCACCTCACTAACATGGGACTTCTGCACAGCCTGCCAGCATCTGCAGCTCCCCGTAAGAGCAGGAAAGTGAATGTTCTTTCCTAGCCTTCAGTCAGCACACCTCAGAGCAGCCCACTCAGAGGCCGGCCGAACAGCCAACCTCCCCACCCGGGCCAGGGCGTCAAGCTTCCTGGGACCTCTTCCTTGATCAGCACCTCCTCATCTGTGCAGGCTTGGTGCTCGAATGAAGAGCAATTTTAATTTCTGTTCTTCCAGTTCTAGATCTATGTAGTCCATGTCTGAAAACTAATTTGAGAGAAGATCAGTAATTATTTAGTTGCTAAAGATACCAAAGAAAAATCAAGAGTGTTTTTCCTAATGCCATCTGTTATGTAATTATATTATTACCAAAACAAAAATCAGATAATGACAATGTTTTCCTGTTCAAAGTATAGCACCTACCATTCTTCCATGTTTCATAAGAGCCAGGAAGAGCAGAAGCCAGTCCAAGGGGCATTCTTCCCCAGGTTAGATCCTGTTTGCCTATTTCAAAATGCTAAACAACTCTTTGAACTGCAGTGGCTTCCACAAGAAAACTATGAGTGCACTGAAGTTAAGAAGATGAAGTGGGAAAAAAAAAATAAAAGATGAGGTGAGCCCTAACTCAAATTTTCTGATGTTGAAGGTCGTAAAGAGTACTTAAACTTTGCTTTGAGTTACTCCATCAGAGAAATACTTCTATCCCACTGCAGAGGAGGGGCTAGAAATGTCAGCAGAAATCATGCTTCTGTTTTTCCTAAAATTTGACCTTGAGATTTGAGGTGAGGCTACTCATTTACTATCAAGTGACCTTTACACATTGAATGACAAGAATCTCCATGGTACTTTTCCTGTGTCAGAGGTCATGATACGTAGGCATTATTCAAGTTTATTTATTTATGTATTCATTCACTTCATGGCTTTCCCAATGCATATAGAAAGTAAGTTCAAATGTCTATTTGAATATGTCTGATATCTACTTAGCTGAAAATTTGCTGCCACTACATATGACTTTATATAACATTCTGACCCAAAAAAAAAAAAAGTGATTCCATGTTTAGCTGCAAGGTGTGGAAGTAATCAGTAAAATGAACAAGCTGTAGCCTGGTGCACTGAGCTGTCTGTGGTACTGAAAAATGCCACCAAAGCTGAAATTTGCAGAGCTGCGTTCTTCTAGAGCCCCCATCACATCACTTTAACTGAACAACTTCTCCCCAAGATTCACCTGACCCATCTGATTTTGCCAGAGTGTGCATAAACATTCATGAAAGGTCACACTGACTAGCCTTCCAAGGTTCTCCATGAAAATGTCAGGGCCTCCCCGAGCTTCATTTAGCAATTCATGCAGCAGAGCCAGGAGGCCAGCCTTAGTGCTTACTTCTCCTAAACGCAGTGAGAGACCATATCATGTACCAGAAACTCACACTAGCTCGCTTTCACTACCCACCCATGAGACCAATAAGCGAAAAATAACAGGAAAACATTGGCATTCCAGATTATAGGCTGCTTCCAAAGACTTAGAAGAGCTCAAGACATAAAAGTGTTTATGAGACAAATATCCTATCAGTAAATTACAAGGAGTGGATGCACAATTTGTACTTTTCCACATCAGCTGGTGCCCTTCCTTCCACTGTTTCAGATTCATGTGTTCAGGCTGCACCATCAACTATAGTCTCTAGAAGAAAGAGAGCCGTTCTACTTCTGTAAGGTTCTCAGCTTCTAGTCCAGAGTCTTCATGTGTATTTGGTTATTTTGCCATTCTGTTTTATTATTTTTAAAAAGCATTTCTGATGAGAATTCAAAGCTTCAGCTTGTGGGACAAATCCCTCCAGATAAAAAAACTGAGTATAAGAAGCACATCCAGAATAACAAAATGATATCTATGACCTAAGTGCGCACTTTGAAATTATTTTTAAGTTTGGAGGGCTTAACAGAAAACTTATACCACATAAAATAAACCCAGTTTTAACATTCTTTGATATTCATGTTGCACAACAGCAAAGTTCATGGTGCTTACGCCCCCCGAAGGGTCCCCTGTGTCCTCACCCCTCTCCCACGCTGCTGATGTTCTCGTCGGCACGTCCATGCATTTGGTGACAGAAGTAGTCCTCAAAAATGGTCAATGGGTGTAATGCTTGGAAGCATGAAATACTACAAGAATATGATTTCCTGTATTTCTGTTACTTCCTGAAAGTTTTGAGAACTCTAATGTGGTGTCAGTATTTTTAGGACACAGTTGATATTTGTCACTCCTCTTAGACTCTTCTAAGTGACTGGGTTGTTGGGAGAGTTATGATGCATTTTTGCATAGAAAAACAGAAAAATACATTGTGACTTTCCCCATGACCTAATATTTCAAAAATTCCTCCCAATAATTCTTATTAAGTCAGTATTTTCAAGGTGGTACTTTGCTCTTGGTGTTGATACCAGCCAATGCTCTCTCCCACGACTGTTGTTTGGCAATGTGCTTTTCACAGGAAACAGGCAATCATGGGAAAGTCGATGTTTAATTTTTTAAAATCAGCAAAGTCTCTCATTCCAGAATGGATTAAGCAAAAAACGCTCCGGCCTCCAAGCAAAAAAAATCAAAATAAAAAAATTCAGCTACTTGATTTTTAAAATATGTACGAACATCTTAGAATAATCTTTAAGTTTAACCCTGCCATACATCAGACTTTTGGATTTACAGGGAAATAGCCATGTTCGGGGGCTTCTGGCGAGCACAGGTCAGGCTGTGGACTGGGCGCTGCGCACACAGGGCCAGCCCCGCTCTGCATTCTGGCAGTGTGTGACTGGCAGGCTGCTCACCTCTTCTGACTCCAGGCCCCATCTGCAAACTGAGGCAAGGGATCGCTAGACTTGTTCTGTTCTTTCCTCTGTCTACTCTTAGAGCCAAAACGAAAAGATAAGCTCACATGTTTAAGTGACATGTCAGTACCGCTTTGAAATGCTTCAAAGACTCGCAAAAGCTCAACACCAGAGCACTGGATTAAAGGTGGATCCCCGTAAGTTATCAGAATCGAAATAGACTCAAATCTGTATTTGCCTTGCTTGGCCAGCACCATCGCAGTTCTTATCTCTGAATACTATCATTCTTTCTAATTCTTATGTTCTGGACTTATTCCTTCAAAACACACTTAGCAAAGTGTTTACAAATAAAAAGGCAAGATGACGTGATCTCTCCCACCTCACTTGGGATCTGGTGTCTTCATTTTGTATGGGCACTCATTAAAATTGGTTTCTTCCATAATTAACTTGTGTTTGCTAGTTACTAACCTAAAATCAGTTGAAATTAATACTAAAATACCTAAATGGAAGGTCCTAGGCCATGGTTTAGGTTCAAAGACAGACCAAATTTGAGGCTATCTCATGGAAGGTCACAGAAACCATAAAATGCGTATCAGTCCACGTTTTAAACTGGAAAACTGCAGTGTGCTTTTTAAGAACTCGAGTTGTTTTGATTCTCAGACTTTAATATTCCTTTGGCCATAAGCTACAGCAAAGTAAGAACTTTGACCTACACAATTTGTAAAGAATATTATGATATCACCAGTAATAGCCAAATCTAACCACAGAGTGCCTGGCTGCATTTAAACAAAACAAACCTTTTCCTAAACCAACAACTTACGAGTACAGTGGCCTTAGGTGTTGAGTGACATTTAAACTATAACCTAATGATTGTAGCTAAGAATCATCGAACTACTAGATACACTGAATTTATACTGTAAACTTAGCACAGCTTTTTTATTTATATATTTATCTATATATCAGCTAGGACTCTCTCCTGTTTCCTTCCTGCGCTACCAGACAGAACAGGGTATAGACAGAGACGGCAACCACCGGCTGTCCGTTAGCGTGTCTCCAGCAAGAACATGAGCTGACCCACAGATTGGGAACAACTGGCTTTACAGAAAACAGGCGTGACTGATTTGGATTAGGAGCTCTACCTAAAAGAGATCTACCTAAAATCTTAAGGATGTAACAGACACATCCCGAACACTGCCGCTCCACTGCCCTGAGCTGTCTCCAACTTCCTGAAAGAGCAGGTCGGATGCTCTCACAAGAACACAGCATGGTTTTCTGTAGCCGCAAGCAAGGACAGGGCGGCTTGGAAAAAGCCTTCCTCTGCCTTGCGTTTCTCCGGGCCCCCGCACCGCCTTGGTCATTCACGAAGGGCAGCAGCTAAGTTACCTGTATTTCCCTGGCGTGGTACACGATGATCAGACCGAGCAGGATGATCGTGGAGAGGCTGATAAGGCATTTCAGAGCTAAGGAGTACAGTGATGCCTGCAACACGGTGAGACAGAAGCGCTCTTAGGAAAGAAACCTTTAACCACCTCCCAGACCCCAGGGCTCAGTGCCTTGCCAGAGGACCTGAACTCAGAGGAAGAGGACATGGGGCCGGGGACCCGCGAGAGGAGAGCAGAGAAGAGCCGCAGAGACTCCAGGCTCGGCCGCGGGATCCGCGCCACCGCGGACCAAAGCGCTGCTCCGGGCTCCAGGAGCCAGAGAGAAGTTTACTTCTGAGTTTAAGCGCTCCAGGTTGCAAGGTGGCTCCTCAACTCGAGCGCCAGGGGAGAAGCCCAGCGCGCGTTCCCAGGACTCCCAGGACCTGCCCTGAGAACTTTGGTGCTCTGTGAGCCGCCGGGCCAACAGCCGCGCCCGCGGTCCCGGGGAAGCTCGGCCCCATCGGCCACCCGACCCTCCGGGGCCCATCCCGGCCACCGCCCCAAGCTCCGGCGGGGCGGGCAGGAGTGCCAGCCCGTACCTTGTCGTAGGCGCCCCAGGACAGCTCGGTCTCGATGACCATCACCACGATGCCGAACATGCCGAAGATGAGCGCGTAGTCGCTGAGCCGCTTGCGCTTCTCGAACAGCGCGCGCCGGTGCCC